GCCGCTGCAGAAGGTTTGTGCAAATGGGTTATTGCCATTTCGAAATATGATAAAGTAGCTAAAGTCGTGGCGCCTAAAAAATTGGCTCTAGCAGCTGCTGAAGCTGATTATAATGTGGCTATGACAGCTTTAGAAGCGAAAAGAGCACTGTTACGAGAAGCAAGGGAAAAGGTTGCCCATTTAGAAGCTGTTTTAGATAGAGAAAATAGTAAATTTCAAACTCTAAACGGAGAAGCGCAACTTTGTGCTACTAAACTACAAAGAGCCGAAGAACTTATTGGCGGATTAGGAGGTGAAAAACAAAGATGGTCTTCCACCGCTAAAGCTTTAGCTGAAAAATATTTAATTTTAACTGGTAAAATAATTTTATTTTATTAATTTTTATGATTAAATTTTTTTAACTTAATAGGAGATGTGCTGCTTAGTTCTGGTGTTGTCGCTTATTTAGGTGCTTTTACCTTGCAATATAGGCAGGTTCAGATCAACGAATGGGTCAAAGCACTTACAGCGTATAAAATTGTTTGCGCCGCCGATTTTCAATTAACCGCCATTCTCGGCGAACCGGTTATAATAAGACAATGGAATATTTATGGTTTACCCAGTGATAGCTTTAGCATTGATAATGGAATTATAATAACGTATTATTTTTAATTTTTGTATAACACTTATTTAATTTTTTTTTTGCGATTTAGAAACGCTAGAAGATATCCATTAATGATCGATCCCCAAGGTCAAGCAAATAAATGGGTGAAAAATATGGAGAAACAAAATAATTTATCAATAATTCGTTTAAATCAACCCGATTATGTGAGAGTTTTAGAAAATTCGATTCAATTTGGACAACCGGTAAAACTCATTTTATTATTTAAAGATTATTTTAATTAAAAATGGCATTTTTAGGTTTTATTAGAAAATATTGGTGAAGAATTAGACGCGATCTTAGAACCTGTCTTAGGACAACAAACTTTTAAGCAAGGTGGTGCTATGTGTTTGAAACTGGGTGATTCAGTGGTTGAATATAACGATGACTTTAAATTATATATCACAACAAAACTAAGGAATCCCCATTATTTACCAGAAGTAGCAGTCAAAGTAACATTGGTAAATTTTATGATAACCACTGTTGGGTTGGAAGATCAACTTTTGGGGATAGCTGTTGCCAAAGAACGTCCCGATTTAGAAGCTGAAAAAAATCAGCTTATTTTACAAGGTGCAGAAAATAAGAGGATGTTGAAAGAAATCGAAGATAAGATTTTGTGGGTTTTAAGTTCATCCGAAGGGAATATTTTAGAAGATGAAACGGGGATTCAAATTTTAAGCTCATCGAAAGTTTTATCTAACGAAATCGCCGCCAAACAAGCCGTGGCGGAAGTAACTGAAAAATCCATCGATAAAGCTAGAATGGAATATCGCCCCATAGCGGTACACGCAGCAGTTTTATTTTTCACCATCGTAGATTTGGCTAATATCGACCCCATGTATCAATACTCTTTAGTTTGGTTTATGAATCTCTTTAAGGGTACCATAGATAATACCGAAAGGGTCGATGACGTACAAATAAGATTACAAGACTTGCAAAAACATTTTACATATTCTTTATACGTGAATATTTGTCGGAGTCTTTTTGAAAAAGATAAGTTATTGTTTGCTTTGTTGTTGACAATAAATTTAATGAAAAGTAGAGGAGAGGTTAATATTGCTGAATGGATGTTCTTTTTAACCGGCGGTGTTGGATTAGATAATCCATACCAAAACCCTTCTGGTTGGTTGGTTCAAAAATCTTGGGACGAATTGTGTCGAGCTGATGATTTCCCAGCTTTAAAGTAAGTATAAGTACAAAGGCTTTCACAGCCGGTGTTAATTGAACTAAAACTAGAACTCACAATAGCCACTAGAACTAACACTGCCATGCGTCTCTCAAGACGGTTAAACCCGATTACTTCTAGTTCTAGGTTTAATTTTAATTTCAGTTCAACAGAAATGTATCAATTTTCTTAAATCACTATGATGAAAACTTAGACTAAATTAATTTTGTTTTTTTTTTATGAAGAGGGCTTCGACAACATTTTACTGACAATTTGAAAGCATGGAGGGTTGTTTTTGATTCTGTAGAACCACATCATGTTCCACTTCCGGGAAAATTCTCCAACGTCAGTGATATTGAAAAGTTACTTTTAGTAAGAGTAATACGTCCTGATAAAGTAGTTCCGGCAGTGCAAGATTTCGTAGAAAGTAATTTTGTTTGTTTTTTATAATTTTTAATTAAAACAAATATTATTTCAGAACACATAGGAAAACCATATATTGAACCACCCCCATTTGATTTACCATCATCTTACGCTGATTCCCATTGTACTGTACCTTTAATTTTCGTTTTAACACCTGGGGCCGATCCTACTGCGGTTTTATTAAAATTTGCGGACGATCAAGGATTCGGATCGTCACGATTATTTTCGTTGTCATTAGGACAAGGTCAAGGACCGATTGCAGTCAGATTAATTGACGAAGGTGTTCGAAACGGTACATGGGTAGTATTACAAAATTGTCACCTTGCAAAAAGTTTCATGCCCACGTTAGAAAGAATCTGTGAAAATTTTAGCGTAGATACAACCCATCCAGATTTTCGATTATGGTTAACTTCTTACCCAGCTGAACACTTTCCGGTGTTAGTACTGCAAAACGGTGTCAAAATGACAAACGAACCCCCTAAAGGTTTACGCGCAAATATAGTAAGATCGTATTTAAGCGACCCAATTTCAAATATAGAATGGTTTGATTCGTGCAAACAAGATTTAATTTTCAAAAAGTTACTTTACGGTCTTTGCTTTTTCCATGCTTCCGTGCAAGAACGTCGCAAATTTGGACCGTTGGGATGGAACATACAATATGAATTCAACGAAACCGATTTGCGAATAAGCGTCATGCAACTGCAGATGTTTTTAAACGAATACGACGACGTTCAGTATGATGCTTTAAGGTATTTAACCGGTGAATGTAATTATGGTGGCCGTGTAACCGATGATTGGGATAGAAGATGTTTACGAACCATTTTAAATCAGTTTTACTGTAAAGGTTTGGTCGAAACGGATAATTATGCATTTGATCCTACAGGTATTTTAACTATAAAGTTGTCCCAGACCACATAATTGGTTTGGAATATTTTATAGATTATGTTATAAATAACAAATAATTTTTAGGTGTTTACTATTGCCCGGCTACAAATGATTACGACGCATTTATAGATTACACAAAATCTTTACCGATAATTACTCCTCCAGGAGTTTTTGGTATGAATGAAAATGCTGATATTATGAAGGAACAACAAGAAACTAATTTATTATTTTCAACTATTCTTGTTACACAGGTTTGTTTTATTTATATTTAATCCATGAGTTTCTTCAATGTCCAAGGAATCCGTTTAGTAATTAGTTATTCTTTGCATTGCTTATAAGGATCGTACGGTAAGTACAAAATTTTAATGTGATAACTGTATTTCTTTTTAATTTATTATATCATTATACTCTAATCAGGATGTCTGGCAATTGGCAGTAAGTACTTTTATTATTTTCTCATAATATATTAATATTTTTTTTGTTATTAAGCAACTCATAGCAGAGAGGGTAAGAAATTCAATATTAGATAATTTTAACATCTGCACAGTTTTGGGTTCAGCCGTTTTGAAACGCACGGCGAAATAAATTATCTTGATGATTATCTTATTATCTTTGATACAGGATGCTTCTAGCGGCGGTGGCGGTGGAAAATCATCTGATGATACATTAAATGATATAGCAACGGATATTCTCAATAAACTTCCCAACAACTTCGACATTGTTGACGTAATGGAAAAATATCCCACTTCTTACAATCAAAGTATGAACACTGTTTTGGTACAAGAAATGGGAAGATATAATAAACTTCTCAGTGTTATACGTAGCAGCTTAATTAATGTTAGAAAGGCGATAAAAGGTTATAATTCATTCTAATCGTTAAGATATTAATTTTTGATTAATTTATATTAATAGGTGTGATCGTAATGAATGCTTCTTTAGAAGAAGTCTATACAAGTATGTTAACTGGTCGAATTCCAAAAGTGTGGGCTGGTTCTTCTTACCCTTCATTGAAACCACTGGGAAGTTATATAAATGATTTCCTTCAAAGATTATTATTTCTACAAGTGTTTATTTTATTCTCAATAAAATTCGTTTTTACAAAAACAAATTATTTGTAGTTATGGTTTGAGAATGGAGCCCCAATAACGTTTTGGTTATCCGGATTTTATTTCACTCAAGCTTTCTTAACTGGTGCCCAACAAAACTATGCAAGAAAATATAAAATACCTATTGATTTATTATCGTTTGATTACGAAATGTTGAAAGCTACTAGTTTTAGTAAAGCTCCCGATGATGGAGTCTACGTTTATGGTTTATTCGTGGACGGTGCGAGATGGAACATGCAAACTATGAGCTTAGATGAGTCACTTCCAAAAGTACTCTTTAGTACTATACCATTTGTTAAGATTACTTTATGCTTATCAAGGCACAAATAATTAAGATTATTTTTCTAGATTTGGTTAAAGCCATTAAAACGTAGTGATTTGGTTCAACGACACACTTATATTTGTCCTCTTTATAAAACCAGTGAACGAAAAGGAGTTTTATCAACCACAGGTCATTCAACCAACTTTGTTATTGCGATGACGATTCCTACAATACTTCCGCCTGAACATTGGATTTTAAGAGGAGTGGCTATGTTATGTGCCTTGTCACAATGAAGAGTTTTCAGCCAATATTTTATGTATCTAAATTTTTAATTTGATTTTTATGTGTATAACCAACTCTTATTTTACAAATAAAGTATAATTTTTAATTATAATTTGACAGCAAATTTGAATTACAATCAATTTTGGAATTGTTTTGAAATGTTGTCATAGTGACCAAATAAACTATTTATTTCTATCAAACGAGAAACGTCTCTTTAAATATAAACGAATTGATAATATCATTTTCAACATTTTATTAAACAATTTTGAATCGAGTAAGTTAACATCTAATTTAAACCAAGCTAAATATCAAATCACGCATCTGTTTCAGCGAAAACTTGTGTTATAACCATAATCCGATTAACCTGAGTGATCAGTGTTTGTAGGATTTTTATCACCATGTCTTATAGAAAATCAGAACGAGAAAAATTATTAAAAAAAATCGCTGAGAAACGAGCAGCAATGGAAAATTGTGATGTTAAAGTTAAAGTACCCAAATTTAGTTTACCTCCAGAATACACCATTCAATCTAATCCTTTATTTCAACTTCCACGGGAACTTGTTAAACCTACATTAGCTTCCGGTTATCCGGGGTATAAAAGGAAATTAGCTATCTCTCAAAAGAAAGGTAATTTATTAAAATATATCTTGTTTGTAAATTAGAAACAGACTACATTTGAGGCAGTTGTGCTGCCGAGGCCAACAGTTCATTACTAAAAAATAAGGTAGTACAACTTCTTTTAATACATGTCCATTATTAAGAAGCCGAGGCAGTCCAATTACTTAAAAAAGAAACAGACCAGTAATACTTTCTAATGCACATGAATAAAGAAGCCTAGAAGTATACCAGCTAGTACAACCTGGTTTTAGTTCAATTATGACTGGCCGTGAAAGCCTTCATACTTATAATTACGTTTTATTAATATGAAAATTTTGTTCACATCAATCTCTTAGCCACTGCACAGAAAGCAATGTTAGCATCTTATACTTATCAACGGCAACGCAGAGAAGAATTTCGTAAACGTTTAGTAAATTTAATCTGTTCAGAAGAAAAGGAAGATGATCTAGATGATATTTCAAATGCTGAGGATAAGGAACTGTTGAGATATTATAATTATATAAGACACGGTGTTGATACTATCCACGTGTCTCCAATGGATCAAAAAGTTTTAGATGAAGTAAAATAAAAGATTAAAATACCATAACGAAGCTAAATCATATATTTTTTTAGATTTTATTATTAATACCAAAAAAATTAAAAAAGTTTCGTGAAATTTTATCGACTGCTATTGAAGAAACGAAAGAAGATTTTACGATGGTTATTAAAAAAGCGATCGTAGATTTTGCACTAAAAGATCCCGCGCTTGTAGAAGATCAATCGACGGAATTTGATTCGGCTGAAAGGCGAGAATTAGCTGGACTAAAATTGACGTGGGAAACGACAGTGGCTGATATGCGACCTAAACTAGAAATGATTCTTCATGTAACGAATTCCTGCATACATTCGATGGTCGATCTTTGGTATGTGAATTACCGGGATTTACGTCTAGTTGATACAAAACAACTTAAACAGCATAAAGGAGCGTATGACTTAAATAAATTTATCGTTGTGACGTCAAAACAAATCGATAATTGCAAACAAATTTTAATGAACTCTTATTTTAAAAATGTTATTGATATTTTTTTGGTTGGAAATAGAAGAGGAATATTACCAGATCCTTCTAAACAAAAAAAAATGAAACGATTTTATAATTGCGTCGCTTGTTTAATGACTTATCACCTCCAAACATTAGCATTGAAATCTTTGTATGATTATACAAAATATATTACAACAATTATGGTAAATAAATTTAATAATTTATCAAAAAAAAATGTATATATATAATTTTTAGTACGAAAATAAAGGATTTGAAGTATCATTAACAAAAAGGGACGATATAATTGATTTTGAACCACCATTTCAAAGTTTTAGAACAAATCTTTGCCAAATTTTAGATGATATGGTTGAAGCTGTTAAAACAATTCCTAGATTAGAAAGCCAATTGTATTTGGATTATCAATTTGAAATTGTTACATTGCAGGTTGGTATTAATTAGTTAAAAAAATTAAGTTTGTTTTAATTAAAATAATAGCCAGTGATTTCGGAAAGTATCGTACAAGGTTATCGACAACAAATTCAAGATTTACTCGAAGATCAAAGAATAGGTCCAGAACTTCGCGTTCAAGATTTTGATAAATACATGTCTCTTTTAAACGGCGACGCAAACATTAATATTATTCAGTTCATGTCCGACAATCATCCATTCGAAGATTATTGTGATCAAGTTATATATTTTGAAGATATGGAACAAAACCTTCCCGAGTATGTCGAACATATTGTTACTATTGGAATGTACGATATGATACGAGATGATTTCATCAAAACCTTGGTAATTTCAGCTGGAAATTTTAAAGATATATTAATACAAGCACTAATAAAGGAATATCAAACTATATGTAGAAAGTAAATTTTGTAATATTTATTAAAAGACGATTAATGTCTTCTTAAATATATTTTTAGGTTGGGACTTGAATACGAAACTATTGCAAACAGACTATTAACTGTGCCACAAACCACCGAAGAACTTATGGATTTAATAGCTTATGCAAACAACGTAGAGACGGTTAAGTTATATCAAATGGAAGATCGTTTAAGAATTATCTTGAGATACATGATATTTTTATGCGATCACATACCATATAGTTCTGCTGAAATAAAACAGAACAACATAACTTTCTGCTGGTATCTTCGAATGCCGAAAATCATGGATGAACACCGGGAAATGGTAGAAGTAAAAACGGTGGAGTTTCAGGAACTTCTTACCGTACGCATTCAGAAATTCCGAGATGATCTTGCAATATATGCGAAAATGGTCGATGAATTGCAATATAACGGCGATATCGATGAGTTACCTAAATACTACAAAAAAGCTAATCAACTAGATGCAAAGTTCGTAATAATTATTTAGTAATAGTTTTTGCTATTTCTTAATAAATTATTATAGATTGGTGTCTGCTATGGAAAAAATAGATCAATTTAATCAAGAAGAGACTGCTTTTAATTATGAAACCACACAATATCCAGAAAGAAAAGTAATTCACGACAATTTAACCCCTTTCAAAAAACTATACGATAACGCAACAGAATTCATATCAAAACATGATAAGTGGATGAACTCAAAAGTTGGTACCTTCCCACCTGATGATATTGACACTGATACTCAAACTCTTTATCGAAATATTTATAAATTGGAGAAGACGTTTAGTGATAAACCGGATACGGAACATTTAGCCCAAACTGTATGTATAAAAAATTTCGTATTAATAATAATAATTAATAACACAATTGATTTAATAAGGTTCGCGAAAAAATTGAAGGTTTCAAGGAGCACATGCCAGTAATTCAAACGCTTGGAAATCCCGGATTGAAAGAACGTCATTGGGAACAAATTTCTGAGATCGTTGGATTTCCAATCAAACCAGATGCCGATTTAACACTCGCTAAAATTATTGACTATGGTTTAGATGATTACATTAGTATGTTTGAAAGTATTTCCGAAGCTGCTTCTAAAGAAAATAATTTGGAGAAGAATTTGGCGAAAATGAAAGCCGAATGGGATGGAGTTGAATTTAGTGTTTTAGTTTATAAGTATTTTTATTTAAAAGAAGGCGTATTTTTTTGTAATCCATTTATTAATTTAGGGATACAGGAACATATATTATATCATCTGTCGATGAAATCCAAGTACAACTCGATGATCACATCATTAAAACACAAACAATTAAAGGTTCACCTTATATTAAACCGTTTGAAAAAGAGACTTTGTAAGGGTATTAAATTACCATTTTTTTAACTCTCTTTAAAACTGAAAATATTTCAGAGAATGGGAAGCAAAATTGCAACTTCTACAAGAAATCATCGATCAATGGCTAAAAGTTCAGTCCACTTGGATGTATTTAGAACCCATCTTTTCTTCGCCAGACATTCAACAGCAAATGCCTGAAGAAGGGCGAAGATTTACAGTAGTTGATAAGATTTGGAGAGAAGTGATGAAAACCGTGTACGCTGAACCAACAGTATTATCGGTAACTTTAATTGATAAACTTCTCGAACGGATGAAGAAGAGCAACAATTTATTAGACCTGATCCAAAAAGGGTTAAACGATTACTTAGAAAAGAAGCGGTTGTATTTTCCGAGATTCTTCTTCCTCTCCAACGATGAATTATTGGAGATCTTATCAGAAACAAAAGATCCCACAAGAGTGCAACCTCATTTGAAGAAATGCTTTGAAGGTATAGCCAAACTAACTTTTACTGAAGATTTAGATGTTACTCATATGAGATCTAGTGAAGGAGAATACGTTCCATTAGTTGATGTGATCCAAACTTCTTTAGCAAGGGGACAAGTTGAAAAATGGCTTTTAGACCTTGAAAAAGATATGAAAAAATCTGTTTACCAAGCTGTAGCTGGTGCTGTAGCAGATTATCCGACGAAAGACAGAGACGTGTGGGTGTTAATTTGGCCTGGTCAAGTAGTTCAATCGATAGCTATGAACTATTGGACCGTAGAAGTCCACGAAGCGATACTTGTATCATTAGAAGAGATGTCTAATTATCTGAAACATTGTAACATGCAAATTATGAAAATAGTCGATTTGGTTAGAGGAAAACTCAGCCTACAAAATCGTATTACATTAGGAGCATTGGTCGTGCTTGACGTTCACGCTAGGGATGTGCTAACAGAAATTATAGGCCTTAAAGTGGTTAGTATTAGTGATTTTAACTGGTTGTGTCAATTAAGATATTACTGGGAGAACAAGCAACTCCTTACCAAAATGATTAATTCAACATTACCGTATGGATATGAATACTTAGGAAATGTGGCAAGATTAGTTGT